TTGGCATTTGTAGTTGTGGGGTGGTCTTACATCGTTTGATTAGTGTAACAACTTCCATGTTCGATATTAACATTCTTGTTGGACCGGATCATGTTGTGTAAGGTTTTATCATTGTAGTTATACTTGTGTGGTTATCTATGTAATCTGACTCGGAGGTTAAAAGTTTTGTTCTATACCAATAAATATTTGCCCAAGTGGGACAATGTTAGAATAATTCTAATAGTTACAACATCCGGCCTTTAATACTTAAATTGTGTTTTGCTCTTATTTTCAATTCTGTATTCCAACATAATATTTCAGTGTTGAAACTTGTTAAATTGAATAATAATAATTATATATTGCAAATTTGTAACCTTTCACAACATGTTATAACTTACATATGTGGTTAGTAGGTTTTTCAAGGTAATGTTGTGATCAGAATTTTAGGGTTAATTGTCTGATTGATTTCTAGACTTTACATAAGGTTTTCAGGGGGTCGCTGAATTTCGAAAGTTTTCCCTTTAGTTACTGAACTTTACAAATATAATCTCAACCATCGTTGAGAACTTCAAAAGTTTTCCCATTGGTCACTAAACTTTACAAAATGTAATCTCATTCATCACTCTGTGACTAATGATGACACTTTTGTAATGTTTAGTGAATAAGGAGGAAATTTTTTAAGTTCAGTGACCCAATAGAAATCTTATGCAAAATTCAATGACCAATCAATTAACGAATCTTTATGTTCTTTTAATCTTTTTCTTTCATTTTTTCTGCAGTCCTCCCCAAAATTTTACTCTCTAGTATTGCCAAATTAAATTTAGAAAAAAAGAATAGCCTTTTATTCTGGGGATAATCGACAAAATTGTTTGCTAACCTATCTAAGATCAAAGAGGCAATAGAGGACAATTCTATGGGCTGCTTCAGCTCCAGCTTCAGCTTCGATCATCTTTTCATCAGAACACACTTGAATAAAAATAAAAAATCTATTAGATTTTTAGCTGAAGATGTGTATGAATTTCAAGTTGAATACTATGAAGTGATTAATACTATAAGGATTCTCTTCCAAAATAGTTAATTGTATGGACCACCATTACCTTTTTTATCTTAAAGAAGTCAGTAGATTACCTTTAGGATAAATGTTATTTTTTGTTCTAAGTTTGACGATGCTAGAAAGAGTAAAATTGTGGGTAGGAGTACAGAAAAAAATAAATAAAGATTGATAAATTACCTTATTGGTCACTGAACTTTGCATAAGATTTTCAAGAGGTAACTGAGCTTTACAAATGTAATCACATCAATCACTGAGAATTTCAAAAGTTTTCTCATTAGTCATTGAATTTTATAAAATGTAATCTCATCCATCACAAAGTGATTAATGAGAAAACTTTTATTGTGTCGACCTGAGTCGCCTCAGCGCATCGGTTGGTCATATGTGTACAAGTTGGGTGCTTTGCCCCGTTACTCCGTAGTTCAGCAGGTGGGGGTGACGTGGAGTTCTGGAGCCTCATTATGAGAAGTGTAACACAACTTATATTCAGATGCTGAATTCTGCTTGTAGATAATTGCTTATTGTGAAAAACATGAGACGTTCTTGTGAGCACATCTGGGTCCTCCCTCACATTTCGCATTAAAAATGGGGAATGCTAACACTCGCAGGAATCTCCAGATAAAATAATTTGACCACCATTAGTTAATTCTTGATGATCATTCCCCACTCAGAACTTAGCATTTTTTGTTTATGTTTTAAGTGTGTGCACAGCTGAGGGAGGGAAGGAATTTCTTCCCTTTGTCACTTCTGAAAGACATAAAAAAAGAAACGAAATGACTAAAAAAATTGTGCTAAAAGGAGAATGGATAGGCACGCCGCGCGGGCATCTGAATGGAAGGCAGTTAAGAGTTGCAAAAGGAAGGAATAGTATCTCAAATACATTTGTCATCACATTAAATTTCCTATTTATGAAAACTACTAAACAAAAATACAAAAACTGCTTTTCTATATATTTATTTAGTTGGATTGTAGTACAAAGGTATCTTGTTCATGCTTTAAGAACTCTAAAAAGAAGCATTTTCAATCTGCCGCACCTCACTTTTGATTTGCAAATGTACTCTACAATTCTGTTTCTTTATTCTCTAGTTTTTTCTATACCTTTTTTAAACCTTTCGATGCTCTTTTGCTTAATCCATTTTAAAAGATTAAGGGTGATTATATTCACACCACCTTTTTTTTACATATAAATACACCACATTTTAATTACATTAAAATCATTAATATTTATTTATTATCACACTTATATTCTTAACTTTTTTCTTTATCATTCTTATATTAACATTTCATGATCAGAAAATCTTGTTATTAATCATGATTTTTGTCCAAAAATATTGTTAACGCGCTTTAAAATGAACGTCGAATATTTAATAGTATTTTTGTATTATTATTTGTTTTTCTTATTTAGAAATACAATGGAGAGTCTTTTTATTCTGTCTAAAGAAAATTTTGGAGAGAAATCATAATCAAACGCAATTTCTGTTAATTTGAAAATAAGAATGTAATGGAAAAATTTTTGAAACATAATTGTGATAATGTGTAAATGTTATCAACTTTTCATGTAATTAAGTACAGTCTAATTATTAAAAATTGTGGTATGAATTTATTTAACAATGATTAAACTTTTTTTTAAAACTTTCCTCTATCATTAATTCTTGAAATGGAATAATATTATAAAAAATTCACGTTGGTACGTTAAATTCTTGGCAAAACCATAAAGCATCGTTGGAGGATGTACCATAGGATATCCATTTACCAAATAGATATTTTAAGGCGTCATCAAATCATTATCAATTGGTAAAATGTTAATTAATCCAACCAACCCCTTCAAGAATCAACCACTCCACCATTGAGATACTTGCATATAATCTTCCTCATAATGATTAAACCCAAATTATAATGCACCCATTCAGCGCGACAATGCATGCTGTTGTGTAATACACTACAAAACCCAAATCAGTGAACCTATGGTCCATATGGCCGACGATCATAAAATGTCTACTCGTCTCTCCATGTTATTGAAGATGAGATAATATTTAATTTTTGGCACCTTTCTCTATGTGTAATTTAGATTTATTTTTAGTTAAAAAACCTCACGTGTTAGTGACAAGAATTAAGTTGTGATTATACATTTATGAAAATTATAGACGTTTTAGATATTTAATGAAAAATTCAACTTGTCGTTGAAGGTGTCGGTTAGAGGTGTCAAATCAGGACCACGACTGACCCGTGATAGGCCTCCATGTGCTAAAACATCCCTAGTGTTGGTTGACAATACGAGTTAAATAAATAATCTTTTCCAAATATCTGAAAACTTTATCTTTTAGTCTGGAGCACAGACTTCAAGAATATGAATACATGAAAATTGTGCACTAGTCAAGCTTTTGTTGCAAAAAATGTGATTATCGTATTGAATATGTAATCTATATAACAAACTTATTCCCAGTTTAATAGTTTAATCAAAATCATTTTACATGACTTTATTCAAAGTGTCGAATTTTGTTTGACGCCTCAAGTGTCCTCCGTCATACATCTCTTTCCTTCGATCTAGACAAATTCTAAAACTAGAACTCTGCCTTTCCTACTAAGGAATGAGAAAGAATGCTTTCCTCCTAAGGTTCATCCACACCAGGTCATCCCAATTTTTTTGTGGAAAATGACGAGTGTGAAAACTATTTATCATGTTAATTTGACTAATTCGATCAATCCCCTTTGTGAACGTACACGTGTCAGTCCAAGTGTCACATGACCAACTACTGCTGCACTGAAATTGCCTTTGTTTGAGTCCCATTTTGAAAGAAATAATGCATTTTGATATAGTAGGTTAATGAAAATTGTCTGGTTAAAAATAGGTAAAAAAAATTCAAATTTGTGTATAATATTATTTTATTGAAAAATGTGTAATTGAAAATAAATTTAAAAAAAAAAAGATTTTTTAGAAAAATTGGGATCAAACAAGCCAATGTAGATCGACATAATACTTGAGAGACGAGTTTGATCGACATTATTTTAAGGTTGTTTTCTTCATTTATTACTCCCATTTCTGAACTATCCCACGGCTTCTAACTTCTGCAAATGGTTTACTTCGGACGTTTCTTTTAAAGCTCCATTTTTAAATTAAAAACAAATTTTCAATAAATATTGATAAAATATGAGGTTTAAAAGTTATTGATCATATGTGGTTAGACATCTCTAACCGTTGTACAAAATTGAATGTAAATTAGTATCTTCAAATCCACTTTTGTACTCTCATTTACATTTCGGTAGAATTAAATTCAAAAGCTACTCCAATGAAAAGATGTAAATCCACTTTTTGCCTTTTGTGAATGTAAAAAATATGTAAATTTACATTTTTAATTTACATTTTTTTTTTATATTTTCTACTGGAAAATACAATTTGCATTTATTTTACATCTCTCCATTTGAAGATTTTTTTGACTACTTTGAATATTATCAAATTTTAGATCAATTTTACATCACGATTGAAGATGTTCTTAAAATTAATTATTAACATTGACTTGAAATTTTTGGTAGATTTTAACCTAGACTGAACATGGAACAAATATTAATATTATTAGTGTGTAAAAGCTGTTTTTTAATTACTCTTTAGCTCCAACTCCTATCAACAATTGTTGCATCTTAATTTTGTTATATCATTCCTGGTTTGTATTTATATTTATATTTTCAATTGAAAATACTCAAAATTAGTGGGAAAATGGGGGAAAAAGTTCATAGAACCATGGTAATGGTAAGAAGAACATGCCAAACAAGCCTCAATATGCAAGAAAAGCTTTATCTTACCCTTAAATTCTCCAAGAAATTATTTACATTTCCGAAAAGAAAATTTAACTCAAGCTTCTGAAGCGCACACAGATATATGCGCAAAATCTTTTGAAATTATCCACAAAGGAGTAATCAAAAGCTCCTTGCCCAAGAACCCTAAAACCAAAATTTCAAAAGGAGATGAAAGGTGTCAATTGAATTGATCTGGTGTCTGATGGGCTTCCATGTTCCCCATTTCAACTTGTCCACCATTAATTTGCTGCTTCTTCTCTTCACTATCCTCCTCTGATGTCAGAGTGGTGTCGCTACTGCTGCTGCAAGTGCTCTTGTTACCAAAAGATGATGCTCTACTGGACATAGGAGTGGCCAAGTGAGTTGGCTTCTCTTCGCCGGCCATGATCACAAGAAACTTCTCTTCAAGCACTGGCGGTGGTTTAACGGCGTCAGTCTCAGATCCTTCACTGCTATTACCCTCGCCGGACTCGAGGTCCCTCTCCCCGTCACCACCATAGCTAGAGAACTTCCAGTATGAGCACGCCAGGATCAAAAGAGCAAAAGCAATGAGTCCCAACATGGCCGCCAATCCCCCGAAGAGGTACGGCACCGGAGAGTGCCATGGAGAGCGCTGAGCAGGTGATGGTGGTGAGGCCCCCATAGTAGTCATTTTCAGCAGTATATGTATTTAATTATATATATTGGTGAACTGGATAAATCTTTCTATGTGAAGACGTTGTGAATTTGGTTGTTAATTATTTGTGCAAAATTGAAAGGAAACAAAATGGTGGAGAGACGGTGGTGGTGGTGGTGGCGGCGGCGGTGGCGATGGTGGAGAGAACGAGGTTGTGGTGGATATATTGTGGAGAAAAAGCTGGGTTCAGGTGATTATTTATAGGGAGGAAAACAGAAGATTGTTTGGATTCAAGAAGTGGAGAACAGACGTGGATTTTGTTCTCTTCAATGATTGTCGGTATTTTATGAAAAGTGGGGTAGGGACTATGGGGTGGGGTGGGGTGGAGTGGGCTGGGTTGGGGCGGGGAGCACATGGTATTAAGCTACTTGAAATATTTTGACAAATTATTTGACGGACGTGGAGGTGGCATGCATTTGACCCTTGATGTAAATAAACAAAATTCAAATTAATGGTCAAAATGTATGTCACCTCAACATCTATCAAATTTTTTTTTTTAAAAGAAAATTGTACATGTAGCTGTGGATATATACACATAGTGGAAAGCACTCCTATGGATTTATAAGATTATGGGTAGTAAATTTTATTTTATGGAATTTAATTAATATACTTTTTCATTTAACTATTTATAAGATTATTGTTAACTTTGACTTCTACGGAACTGGAATTTAATGAGAAGATGGGATCACAGGAAAATTCACAATGTAATAAAAGTACTCCAAAGAAAAGTTTATCCAGAGAGATATGCTATTCATCCCCATTGGGGATGCATCCTCAATCTATATGACATTAATGTGGCATTAAATGATATGTGAAATTAAATAAGTCATTTAATTTCACTTATCATTTAACCAATCATTTACATCCACATAGACTGGGAATGCATCCCCACTGAGAATGAATAGCATTTTTCTTATCCAAAAGAAGCAAAATCAATTTGAAGAAAGAAATTTATAATTAAATTTGATATTTTATTGATTTTTCTGTAATGTTTTGCTAGTTAATGATTTCCGTTTTAAAAATATTTAGTTGCATAATTAGTAACAAACGGTTCAACAACTTCAGACGTTATCTTATTCTTTTAGAACAATGGAAGGTTCATATTACGAAGTGTAGAATCAAGATATAGAAGTGTTGTAAATGATAAGCTATTGATGAATGATAATTGTACATCTGCATTCCTAGAAATTATTACCATATGTATCCCCAATCCTTTCATATTGACTTTTATTCTATGTTCCTTTTTTCTTTCTTCTCACAACACGTTATCAGCACGAAAATTTAATTTTTCAAAGTTTAGAGAACGTAGTAATTTTTTAAAACATAATCATCTCTCAAGTGTACCAAAATTAATTTTGTGACATGCGAATTTTTTTTTTACATGTACACGGCTGATTCATAGCCAATCTTTCCGCAGCTAATCGTACCCAACTTCGTGTAAATCATAACCCATTTCTGATACAATTTTATGAGGAAATTACAAAAAATATCAAATTTTGGCTTTACCATTTACA